GATCGCCCTAGGTGTGCTGGGAAGGCTTGGCAAAACGCCCTGCTCTCCATATCCGCCGCCCGCTGGGGCACTAGGACGTCGGTTCCCAGGCGGTGGATAGGGACAAATCCCCGCCTCGCAGGACAGGGCCGCCGCCGGCCCGCGCCCCGAGGACCTCCCGGACACGCGGCGCCTCGAGGAGCAGCGAGACGGAGGCTGCTCCCAGCTCCTGGCCTCCTCGGGGCCCTTCCCCGGCCTCAGGGCAGTCCACGAGCAGGCTGGCGATGAACACCCCGCTGGCCCCCGGGAAGTGGTCGAGAGGCCGGGGGCCAGGAGGTCGGGCTGCTCGAGGCACCGGCTGCCCGGGCTCGTGTCCAGCGCGTCGCCTCGGGCGCAGGTCGCCAGGGCGCCCCCGTGGCGATGGCCCGTCGCCCAGAGAGGTGCTGGCGGCGAGAGCTGCGCGGACGGCGCCTCCCCCCGCTCTCGCGCGGAGGGCGCGGCGCCAATGTTGACTCGGGCCTGTCCCTCTACGGGCAGAATATCCAAAAATCATAGGGGAACGATTTTCCATTTTTTGTTGGATTTTTTTTGCATATGTTTGACTACTTTTATTTTTCCTCCCCAATTCCCCCTGGAGGGGGACATGCCCGACCGACCTAACGTCAATGCCTCAGATCCCACGCCAGGACGTCCCGGTGGTGATGTGTTCTGGGCCCCGCCGCACGCACTGCGGGCGCCTGGTCATCGACGCCACAGCTCAGCCCAACCACGCGGAGAGCTCGATCTACCAGTTGGGCACCGAGGGTGCGCGTTGCCTTCACGACGTCGCCAGAGGCAGGCTCGGCCTGACCAAGATCGCCAAGCGGATGCGCATCGCCTTCCATGGCAACCACACCTTGGCAGCGCTGGCCGACGTGCATACCCTCTTCACCGGACAGTTCTTAGAAGCAGGCCCCATCAACCCAGGTCGCGCCAAGGCCAGGGAGAAAGGCTCCAGGCGGGCCGATGTTTGCCCGCGTCGGGAGCCGTCAACAACATCAGCGAGAAGCAGGCGCTGGACGGTAAGCTCCAAGAGGCAAGCCTAGCTTTTCGGTATGGGCAGTCCCCCCTCCCCGGCTTTCCTTGCCGCCATCGTGCCCATGCCGCACCGCAGCGGCCCCGCCGTAACCGCGACCGCAACTTGGACACAAGGCGCGCAACAAAGTAGGGAAGCAAGAACAGCGCGTAGTCCGTCCGCGCTGCACACGGCGCGAAACCAGCGTCAACGCGAGAGCCATGATTCGGGGCGGGCGGTGGTGTCAGAGTTGAATTCGCACAGCGCTCAACGCAGGTCTGCGCGTTTCAGTTGAGACTTTCGGAACTAAGCTCGATGCTTTTATCAAACGTTTAAACTATGCTGTCCTAGGATCCCACGTGCCAGAGCTGAAGGGGGGCAGGCGGCTCCCACGGCGCCGTCAGGCATCAAAGGAATACAGCGAATATCCGACCCAGCAGCGGGACACGAGGAGAAACCAGACACGGGCGAGCGTGGGGCGTCCAGCCCCCAACATTTGTTCGATCGATCCCGCTCGGGACCTGCAGGCGGGCCCCGAGGGCCCCAGAAAGTCGGTACCTGACCTGGCACTCCAAGGGGCCCTCGAGGCCAACAAAAACAGATCACGTGCGGAAGACCCCTCCCCTCGAGAGGAGGGAGGGCGGGGCCGAAATCTTGAGGACGGCAAAGCCGAGAGAAGACACAGAAGAGGACGGCACGAGGGGAGGGGAACAAGCAGTATAAAAGAGCGTTATAATAACATTTATTTAAACTATGCTGTCCTAGGATCCCACGTGCCAGAGCTGAAGGGGGGCAGGCGGCTCCCACGGCGCCGTCAGGCATCAAAGGAATACAGCGAATATCCGACCCAGCAGCGGGACACGAGGAGAAACCAGACACGGGCGAGCGTGGGGCGTCCAGCCCCCAACATTTGTTCGATCGATCCCGCTCGGGACCTGCAGGCGGGCCCCGAGGGCCCCAGAAAGTCGGTACCTGACCTGGCACTCCAAGGGGCCCTCGAGGCCAACAAAATCAGATCACGTGCGGAAGACCCCACACAGGCCAACCAGCCCCTTCTGGCCGCAGGCCCTATCTAGATTGCACAGCGCAGGACGTAGCACACCAGGGAGGGAGGGAGGGAGGGGCGAAGGAGTAGGTGACTAGTCCTGACCCCCCCAGCTTAGGCACATCATTATGGGATCCCCGAAAATACATCATTCTTCATGTTAATTGGAGAAAAGAGGCTACGTGCTGCGCCTTCTAATTTGCGCCTTGAGGCCCGACCTGGGCCTCGCCACCTCTGGGCGCGGCACCTCTGAGGAGCCGAGCGGCAGCGAGGCACCCTGCGGCAGCCCCTTCAGCATCCTTATCAGACGAGCAGTGAGTGGTTTGTCCGCCACCCTGGACTTCCCCAGCGCCTGTGCCATGAACACGCCTGGGGCCCGCCAGAACTCCTCGCCGTCTCGTAGCATGGCGTCAGTCATGATG